CCCCACCAGAAGCAGTGTGCAAAGAGTGTAAAGTAGGGTGGACTTTAACAGCACTCAATAACACAGCACCATACCTCCTAGATAACACCAGAATGGTTTTGAAACACAAAACTGCTGCCTATTTCTGAGAGCCCCACTTGGGGTTCTGAAGTAGAACCTGCACACACGTGAAGTCGCAGTGCGGTCACAGAGCGGTCACAGTGCGGTCGCAGAGCGGTCGCAGAGCGGTCACAGTGCGGTCGCAGAGCGGTCACAGTGCGGTCACAGAGCGGTCGCAGAGCGGTCGCAGTGCGGTCACAGAGCGGTCGCAGAGCGGTCGCAGTGCGCAGTCACAGTGCGGTCACTGCGTGGTGAACACATCACAACCACACCATTAGCTTTTTACAGTAATAAGTCCATACCGAGTTGCAAAGGGAGCGTCAGGCCCCCAGGGATCCCTTTCTGCAGATCAGCTTCTGATTGGATGGTTCCTTCCTCCATGCTGGGGAATGAAGTCTGCTCTCCCCGCACCCCCGTCTCGCTCAGCGTGGGAAGGAAGGTGCTGGCGTCCTCCTCTGCCGGAAGCTGGTACCACATCTCTGTCACCTGAGACGCAAAAAGGATGGCAGACATTAATATGCAGCAATCACTACACATTTCCAGACTTATTCACTTTTTTCTTTGAAATCTGCTACAGTCAAAAGTCGAGGAAGAGAAGAGGCAGGAGCTAGAACATGTTATATGTTGCACCCTAAATATGGGTGGAACATGTAACATGTTCCAAAAGGTGAACTTATCCTTTGACCCCTCACCCTCCTGAGGATTCCCCCCCCCCTTCCTGACCAGGCCATTTTTTGCGATACGGCGCTGCGTTACTTTAGCTGACAATTGCGTGGTCATGCAACCCTGCACCCACATGAAATTTACATCCTTTTTCCCCCTACAAATAGAGCTTTCTTTTGGTGATAGTTGACCGTCTGTTTGGTTTTAATTTTTTGCACAAAAAAAAAAAAAAAAAAAGGGCCGACAATTTTGAGAAAAAAAAACCCAATATTTTTGACTTTTTGCTATTAAGCACGTCCAGTAAAAAAAAAAATGTAAAAAAAAAAAAAAAATCACATTTCATCATAAATTTAGGCCAAAATGTATTCTGCTCCACGTCTTTGCTAAAAAAAAAAAAAAAAAAAAAATCCCAATATGTGTAAATTAATTGGCGGTATATATACTGGAATTTTTCTCTTTCTTTTTTTTACTAGTAACGGCGGTGATCAGCAACTTATAGCAGGACTGCGGTGGGCGTTCTGACACTGGGGGGGGGGGGGGGATTGGGGGGGGCGAACTAACTTGGTGTCACTGACATCCCCAGTGACACCAATACAGTGATCAGTGCTAATAAAAAGCACTGACACTGTACTAAGGGCGCTGGGCAGGAAGGGGTTAACATCTGGGGAGATCAAAGGGTTAAATGTGTGCTGTTTCACTATTGGGGCTGTGTGTGTGTTTCATTGTAAGCACACTACTTTGTATGGCTCGGCTATGCACAGCCATACAAATCAGTGTGCAGGAGCTGACAGGGGAGAGATCTTTGTTTACATACAGTTCAGTAATACTCGGCGATAACCGGGTGCCGGCAAGTAATCACCAGCTGGGACCTAGTGATTGACAGCTGAGGCCGCAAATGGTGGCGCGGGTAGGGTGTGCGCCCCCTACCTGGAGCTGCAAAAATCACATTATATATATATATATACACACACAGATACGATTTTGCGCACCCGTGCCGCCCTTTAGCAGTATTTCCGCTATAGGGCAGACGGGAAGCACTTAAAGTATAACTAAAGGCAAAATTTGGGGTTTTTTGGATAGAGTGGAGAGGGATTAGAACCCCTGTCAGGTTTATACTGCTGTCTGTGCCCCTGTTAGGGAGTCTCACCCTCTCTTGGTCCTGTTTACCATTATCACCAAAAGTGAACATAAAAGAAAATCTCACATTTTGGGTTGTCATCAGAACAGGAAGAGAGGATATCTTCCGATGGGGACACTAGTTCTGGTGACAGCCAGAGGTTAACTCACTTTAAAGGGATTTTCTCACACTTCCTGTTTTGGCTATGGGAAAGGAAGTGAAGAGAAATCTCCCCCATGGGACACAGATGGCAAAAGTAAACCTTACAGGGGTTATAACCCTTCCTTGCTCTATCCAAAAATGAAAAAAAAATTACTTTAAAATACATGGTGTATAGCACTTCCATATCAAAATGTCAATAATAAAAGTTGAAACAAATATAACCCCTTGCCCGATCTATAAAACCTATAAGCAAGAGTCCATATTTGAAAGCGGAACCAAATACTTTAAAGAGTTGCAGCACCGGCTGCTATCAATCACAGCCAGTCAGCCAATGAGGAGAGAGGGGAGGAAGGGCCAAGCCACGACTCTGTGTGTGAATGGGCACACGGAGCAGCAGGTGTCCCCATAGCAAGCTGCTTGCTGTGGGGGCACAGAACAGGAGTGAGGGGACAGGAGATCCTGGGGGGTCCCGAAAAGAGGAGGATCCAGGCTGCTCTGTGTAAAACCACGGCACGCAGCAGGTAAGTATAGACATGTTTGTTATTTTACAAAAAAAAAAAAAATTGAACCTTTAGGATCGCTTTAATATTGATCAAGGGTGTTAAACTCAATTGGGATGCATCAGCATTATGGTTACCCTCAAAGGGCTGGTTGTATTTGTAAGACTAGATGTCCAGAGCAGCCCTCCCCCCCCCCTTACATCCCAAGTACTGCATTTTAAGAAGTAAAACTACGTTAGATTAAACTGTCGCATCTTATTATTATCATTATACAGGTTTTATATGGCACCAACAGCTTGCTCAGCGCTCAGGATGGAGGAAGCTCTGGAGAAGTCCTGGAGACGAGCATGGGAGGAGGAGACAAGGGAGCTAGAGAGCTGGAGGTTGTGCGAGGAGAGTACGGTTTGGGTGATATTTAGAGACAAGATTGGTGATGTAATTTGGGGCGGAGTTATAAATGGCTTTATATGTGATTGTTAATGTTTTGAATTTTATTTGCTGGGCAGTGGGAAGCCAGTGGAGGGATTGGTAGAGAGGGGTGGAGGACACTGAGTGGAGGTCAGTGGAGGGATTGGCAGAGAGGGGTGGAGGACACTGAGTGGAGGCCAGTGGAGGGATTGGCAGAGAGGGGTGGAGGACACTGAGTGGAGGTCAGTGGAGGGATTGGCAGAGAGGGGTGGAGGACACTGAATGGAAGCCAGTGGAGGGATTGGCAGAGAGGGGTGGGAGGACACTGAGTGGAGACCAGTGGAGGGATTGGCAGAGAGGGGTGGAGGACACTGAGTGGAGGCCAGTGGAGGGATTGTCAGAGATTGATGGCAGATATGGAGCGATTAGTAAGGTGGATGAGTCTGGCAGCAGCATTCATGATAGACTGAAGAGGGGATAGCCTGCGATGAGGTAGGCCAATGAGGAGGGAGTTACAATAGTCAAGGCGAGATATAACAAGGGAGGGAATAAGTTGCTTAGTGGTTTCCGAGGTTATTATGTAACCTTATTGGCGAGTCGAGCGGCCTGTGGAGGCTGCTTATTCAGCAGGTGATCATACTGGCTGGACACTTCGAGGTCTAAATGAGGAATGTGAATGCATAAAGCGGTGCTTGAAATAGAACAAATAACAGGCCATCTACCGATGAAAGAAAATACAACTGAGAAAGGTTTAATGAGAAATTACCCCACGCAACGCCCGGCATTATACCGTCAAAGCAGAACAAAGACCCTGAAAACCTGTCATTTTTCAACGAGCGGATTACATTAATCTGTAATAACAGGAAGTCAGAGTGAAGTATTTATCACTGGATCCAACATATTGATTAGAACACAAGAGACCGCCGCAATTCACAGCGCCTAATCGTCTTAGGATTACATAAAAAGGGGAATGTCAAAAATCTAAGACAAAAGCCCGGGTGACGTCGGCGCCTGTGTCATTGAACATATTTTAATTAAAAATCCATCTCCATACTTTTTATTATTTTTGTTCTTCACTCAAGTGTCCTACAATCAGCGCGGTCCATGTCAGAGTCGGATCATCTATCCTTTGTGTGACTATTTTTAGACGCTCGTTAGCGTAAGGAGTAAAATCGGGGGGCTGATTTCTTTTTTTTTTCTGTATGACATAACCGTCTCATTCTATGTTAGGAAAACACAGCCTCAGCTGCCAAGAGTCTTTCAGAGTTTTAATCAAATATTGCTAATGAGTCATTGGGAAGAACACAAGAGGCAGGCGATGCGGCATCGCCAAGAATGTCAAAGAGCAAATCATTAATAACTTGTTTTTGAATTTTTGTTTTTGAGGTAGACGGGACCGCATCCATCTCTGGAAGATGACACATGGAGAAAGCGTAGGAAACGTGAAAGCAGAATTGCACCGGATGTCAGCTTGGAGGGGGAAGGGAAGATACTAGAAAGGCTTCAGTTACCAAATATTGCGGTTATCCAGTACTAGAAAGTCACTCCACCCAAAAGGATATTGAGCCTCAGAGCTTTGCAGTGAATAACACCAATGGTGATGAAGGTGGGATGGCTAAGATACGACTTTGGCTGCATCACCAAGAATGTCAAAGAGCAAATCATTAATAACTTGTTTTTGAATTTTGTTTTTGAGGTAGACAGGACCACATCCATCTCTGGAAGATGACACATGGAGAAAGAGTAGGAAATGTAGGGGGGAGGGAAGATATTAGAAAGGCCTCAGTTACCAAATATTGTGGTTATCCGGTACTAGAAAGTCAGTCCACCTAAAAGAGATATTGACTAGAGATGAGCGAATCGAAGTAGGCGAAGTGGAATTCGAGTCGAATATTGGAAAATTTACTACCTACTTCGGACGCGCGAATCGAAATTTTTCCTAAAATGGCGGCGGACATGTGCGGCGACGGAGCGGGGATGTCTGGGAAGGCGCGCAGACAAGGCGCGCTGACCCATAATGCATTCCTTAATGACATGTGATCGCATTAGCCAATCAGCAGCCAGGCAGCCAGCACTGTGTAATGGTCGAGCTATAAATAGCGGCCATTTTAGAATTCTTCATTTGCCTCCAGTCATTCAAGAGAGGCAGACCGCTCTGTATTAGGGACAGAGTTAGGGCCACAGAAACGATACTTGGGGACAGAGAAGCATTACTCAGGGACACAGAATTGTTAATGAGGGCCACAGAATCGTTACTTAGGGCCAAAGAAACGCTAGTTAGGGCCACAGAATTGTTACTCAGGGACAGACAGAATTGTTACTGAGTGCCAGAGAATTGTTACTTAGGGCCACAGAAACGTTAGTTAGGGCCACAGAATTGTTACTCAGGGACAGACACACAATTGTTACTGAGGGCCACAGAATTGTTACTTAGGGCCACAGAAACGTTACTCAGGGACACAGAATTGTTACTGAGGGCCACAGAACTGTTACTTAGGGCCACAGAAACGTTAGGGCCACAGAATTGTTACTCGGACAGACACAGAATTGTTACTGAGGGCCACAGAATTGTTACTGAGGGCCACAGAATTGTTACTGAGGGCCACAGAATTGTTACTGAGGGACACAGAATTGTTACTGAGGGACACAGAATTGTTACTCAGGGACAGACACAGAATTGTTACTTAGGGCCACAGAACTGTTACTTAGGGCCACAGAAACGTTACTCAGGGACACAGAATCGTTTAATTAAAGAGTATGTCAGACAACATGCAGAGGAGTGGCAGAGGAGGCAATGTTTTAGGAGCGAGCAGACGTGGCAGCAGAGGAAGGGGTCGAGGCAGCACTATTCGCAGCCAGAGGCCAGTGCTCCCGGTGTCATCCAGTACAGTGAGGAAGAGCTAACAGAGGGCGGTCAGGAACGGGGGGAGACATCCGCCTCTTCAGCAGCCAGGCGAAGAAGTAGTGGCGAGGAGAGTGGCTCGGTAGCCGGTGTAGAGACAGGTCTGTCTCCTGACCCACACGCAGCCGAGGGGGCTAGTAGTGAGGCGGAGACCCTAATTGATGATGATGAGGCTGATCGCACTTGGCAGCCTCGTCGTCATCAGGCTATTGCTTCCGCATCATCAGGAGAAGAGGGTGGCAGCTTGGCAGCGAGCAAAACAGTCGGTGGGTTGTCTCCATCGCCACACTCTGCCATGTGCCACTTTCAGGTCTCCTCACACTGCTGGTGTGTTGAATTTTTTGACATAGGGTGCTGGCAGATTACGTGCCTCCCATAGCTGCTGCCAGGCCCCTAATCTGCCATGGGCCCCTATATACCGCCTCCTCATGCTGCTGCCAAGTCCAGAGTCTCTCATGGGTCCCTGTACGGCCTCCCATTGCTGCTGTCTCCATCGCCACACTCTGCCATGTGCCACTTTCAGGTCTCCTCACACTGCTGGTGTGTTCAGTTTTTTGACATAGGGTGCTGGCAGATTACGGGCCTCCCATAGCTGCTGCCAGGCCCGTAATCTGCCATGGGCCCCTATACCGCCTCCTCATGCTGCTGCCAGGTCCAGAGTCTCTCATGGGTCCCTGTACGGCCTCCCATTGCTGCTGTCTCCATCGCCACACTCTGCCATGTGCCACTTTCAGGTCTCCTCACACTGCTGGTGGGTTCCATTTTTTGTCATAGGGTGCTGGCAGATTACGGGCCTCCTATAGCTGCTGCCAGGCCCCTAATCTGCCATAGGCCCCTATATACCGCCTCCTCATGCTGCTGCCAGGTCCAGGCGAACGTAGTCACACAGGGGAGGAACTTCTCAGTGTAATGAACAGAGAAATCGACAGATGGCTGTCTCCGCGCAAACTGAAAATCGGAACCATGTTGACCGACAACGGAAAGAACATGGTGTCTGCTCTGCGTCAAGGAAGGTTGTGCCATGCGCCATGCATGGCTCACGTGTTCAATCTGGTTGTCAAGCGGTTCCTAAAATCCACCATCCCACTGCAAGACATCCTTAAAATGTCACGTAAACTTTGCATGCATTTCAGCCATTCCTACACCGCAAAGCACACCCTCCTTGAGCTGCAGCGGCAGAACGGAATTGCACAGCATCGCCTGATCTGCGACGTTGCAACAAGGTGGAATTCAACCCTACACATGTTAGACCGCCTTTACGAACAGCAAAAGGCCATCACCGATTTCCTGATGTTACAAGCGGATAAAGGTACTCCCTGTGTAACTTAGATGTCAGCCATTGGCAGCTCATGCGTGACACCTGCGCTTGCTCAGGCCCTTTGAGGAGGCCACGCTATTCGTGAGTCGGCAGGACTATGGGATGAACGACGTCATTCCTCTGTTGCACGTCCTGGAACAAATGCTGTTAACAATGGCTGGTCAGGGTGCGGTAGACGTGGCGCACAGATCTCAACGCCACATGACCCCTGTGGGGGCAGGACAGGAAGAAGAGGAGGAGGTAGAGGAGGACATTTGTGCTCAGGAATTATTGAGTGAAATGGGTGGTTTTTCCACTCAGCGGACAGGAGTGGAGGAGCAGGAGCATCTGAGAGAGGAGGAGGAGGAGGAGACAGAGGACCCAGACGCACCGTGGCAGTATGCTGTGGAGATGGAGGCAGGGAGTCCCTCGCATTCCTTGGCACAAATGGCCCATAGCATGCTCGGTTGCTTGCGTAGCGACAGTCGAATAATAACCATCAGACAGAGGGATGACTTTTGGCTGTCCACCTTGTTGGACCCTCGCTACCGTTCAAAAATGGTGGCCTTTTTCACACCTGCTGAGAGGGAGGCCAAAATAACGTACTATAAAAACCACCTATGTAGTCAGCTGGTCTCTGCCTTTGTGCGCCAACGTCCATCCTCAGACACTGTGGGCCCTGTGCGCTCGCGTTCCGCTGCCATGGCAGCAGGGGAGGGGTGGGGTGGGTAGAAGCAGTGGCAGCTCCACCAGCAGCGGCTGCCTCAGTCTGCAGTCGATGATGAGTAGCTTTCTTCACCAGCGCAGTGAGGAAACTACTAACCAGCCGCAGCAGCAGCAGCATCAGGTGGACCTGGAGCAGGACCTCAAACAACAGGCTTAGGCCTACTTGGACAGCACCCTGCCAACCGAGGTAGACAATCCCCTTGACTACTGGGCAACGAAACTTGACCTTTGGCCCCAACTAGCTGAATTTGCCCTTGAAAGGCTGTCATGCCCGGCCAGTAGCGTGGCATCGGAGCGCGTGTTTAGTGCGGCAGGAGGTATTGCAACTCCGCGGAGGACACGACTGTCCACCCAAAGTGTGGAGAGACTCACGTTTGTGAAAATGAATCAGGCGTGGATTAGTCTGGATTTCAAACCACCAGTTCCTGACACAACTGACTAAATCCGCCATGAATCATGCCCCAAACATGTGCCACTTTCAGGTCTCCTCACACTGCTGGTGTGTTCCATTTTTTGTCATAGGGTGCTGGCAGATTACGGGCCTCCCATAGCTGCTGCCAGGCCCCTAATCTGCCATAGGCCCCTATACCGCCTCCTCATGCTGCTGCCAAGTCCAGAGTCTCTCATGGGTCCCTGTACGGCCTCCCATTGCTACTGTCTCCATCGCCACACTCTGCCATGTGCCACTTTCAGGTCTCCTCACACTGCTGGTGTGTTCCATTTTTTGTCATAGGGTGCTGGCAGATTACGGGCCTCCCATAGCTGCTGCCAGGCCCCTAATCTGCCATGGGCCCCTATACCGCCTCCTCATGCTGCTGCCAGGTCCAGAGTCTCTCATGGGTCCCTGTACGGCCTCCCATTGCTGCTGTCTCCATCGCCACACTCTGCCATGTGCCACTTTCAGGTCTCCTCACACTGCTGGTGGGTTCCATTTTTTGTCATAGGGTGCTGGCAGATTACGGGCCTCCCATAGCTGCTGCCAGGCCCCTAATCTGCCATGGGCCCCCGTACCGACTCCTCATGCTGCTGCCAGGCCCGTAATCTGTCATGGGCCCCTGTTGTCGCTTGTTGGCATATTCCGCTCGTTCAGATGCTCCTTCTCCTGCTACTCCTCTTCACGGATTCCGTCAGCAGTCTTTCTTGGAATCCGTTTCCAAGAGACAACAGTTTGCGAGCACGCACCCGACGGTGCAGAAGCTGAACGTCCTCCTGTCCAAGTTGCTGCTGCCAGGCTCGTAATCTGTCATGCGCCCCTGTACCGCCTCCTCATGCTGCTGCCAGGTCCAGAGTGTGTCATGGGCCCCCGTACCGACTCCTCATGCTGCTGCCAGGCCCGTAATCTGTCATGGGCCCCTGTACCGCCTCCCCATGCTGCTGCCAGGTCCAGAGTGTGTCATGGGTCCCTGTACGGCCTCCCATTGCTGCTGCCAGGCCCGTAATCTGCCATGGGCCCCCGTACCGACTCCTCATGCTGCTGCCAGGCCCGTAATCTGTCATGGGCCCCTGTACCGCCTCCTCATGCTGCTGCCAGGTCCAGAGTGTGTCATGGGTCCCTGTACGGCCTCCCATTGCTGCTGTCTCTATCGCCACACTCTGCCATGTGCCACTTTCAGGTCTCCTCACACTGCTGGTGGTTTCCATTTTTGTCATAGGGTGCTGTATGGCCTCCCATTGCTGCTGCCTCCACCGCCACACTGTGGCTCCACACTCTGGTTTTGGCCCCGTGACTGCCCAAATGAGTGAAGTGTGCGGTGATTCTAAGATCGACGGCACTCATCTGCATGTCATACTGACTGACAGTATTATTTCTCTTCCCCAGCAGACTCCAAGGGCATTTAAATTAAAGGTACAGTGTTCTGCACTAATATTAAGTCTCTCTGAAGCCTAGAAACACCCTTTTTTAAGTTAAATTCACAGCGAATATATTCGACTCAAATCAAAATTTTTCCACGAATTCGCCGAATCAGTCGAATCGAATTTTTGAATACTTCGCTCATCTCTAATATTGAGCATCAGAGCTTTCAGTGAGGAACACCAATGGTGATGAAGGTGGGATGGCCAAGATATGACTTTGGCTGCATTGCCAAAAATGTCAAAGAGCAAATCATTAATATTTTGTTTTTGAGGTAGACAGGACCACATCCATCTCTGGAAGTTGACACATGGAGAAGGCGTAGGAAATGGTGTGTGTGGGGGGGGGGGGGGGGGGGGGGGAGGGAAGATATTAGAAAGGCCTCAGTTACAAAATACTCAAAAGGGATATTGAGCCTCAGAGCTTTGAAGTGAGGAACACCAATGGTGATGAAGGTGGTGGGATGGCTAAGATACAACTTTGGCTGCATCGCCAAGAATGTCAAAGAGCAAATCATTAATAACTTGTTTTTGAATGTTGTTTTTGAGGTAGACGGGATCGCATCCATCTCTAGAAGATGACACATGGAGAAAGCGTAGGAAACGTGAAAGCAGAATTGCACCGGATGTCAGCTTGGGGGGGGAGGGAAGATATTAGAAAGGCCACAGTTACCAAATATTGTGGACATCCGGTACTAGAAAGTGAGTCCACCCAAAAGGATATTGAGCCTCAGAGCTTTGCAGTGA